GGTCATAAACACACCGACGTCTACATCTGGTAATGACAGCAGCGTCCACCTGACCCCACACCTCAGCCCACTTAATCCCCACTTCAGCCCACTTGACCGACCTCAGCTCACTTGACCCACTCGATCCATCTAACCCATATCCTCAGCCCACTTGACCCACCTCAGCTCTCACGGAATAATCGAGTACCAATCATCATAGTAGATTAGGAAGTCTGGCTGTGGGCCTTAAACGAGATCAGATTATGTCCCTAACTACGTGACCTTAAACGAGATCAGATTATGTTCCTAACTACGTGACCTTAAACGAGATCAGATTATGTCCCTAACTACGGGCACTATGTCAACCATATTGGGCCTTTGTCCTTGTGTTGCAACTAAGGTAAACCATTTAGTTTCGTTCTCATGTCTTGTGGAAAATGATTGAACGTGAAATGACTTGAGAATTGGGGACCTGAAGGATGATTTATCCCCGAGGAAGGTGAGTTACGACCTTCCAGAGCCGAACGATCACCTCCACACAACTAGGTCCGGTCACTGATCTTGAGCTGCAGAATGGGAGTACAAACGCTAGACGGATGATTTTTTCAGTAACAATCTCACGTATTCAGACCACAGACTCCAGAATTAATGAGATTATCCCAAGCAGTAGCAGGAGATCATCATCATCATCCCATTCCCACAAAAGCTGGACCCCGACAGTAAACAAACACACCCACACCACTACCACCACTATCACCACCCTCTCCCTAAGGCTAGCTCAGACAATCACACGCTTCCATCTCCCGTCACCGTGGGCTACATCACCTGTACAATGTCAGTCAAGAAACGCTCATCTCTCTGGAAGGTAAAAAAAAAATATACCATGTCAGTGTTGAACTAATGTAGTGTAGTGTATCTTTATTCCTGAGCAGCAGAACGACTCCTTGCACTTTATTCTCTTGAACAGAATTTATTTGGAATTATATTAATGATCCCTATATAAAAACCTATATTATAACAATATTTCTCCTGGTAATTTACTTTTATTTTAGATTTTAATCAAATCTTTATTTATTATATACTTTTTTGCGTTTCTTATATATAACGCAATTTGTAGAAGTCCTTTAACTTTTACGGTAATACATATCAAATCGTGACCTGTGTACCGTGATTCATGTACTTGGTTTACATATTAAGTCGTGACCTCTACAAATTGACACATAGCCGATCGTGACCTCAGCTTGTGACACATCATGACTTCTACGCTTGGACACATTCACTCCACACCTGAAGATGACCCGAACAGGTGTGTGTGTGTGGGGAGGGGGTCATGTGTGTGGGTGTGGGTGTGGGGGTCGTGTGTGGGCGTCGTATGTACCTGTGAGTGGATCGTATTCTGTGTGTGTGGGTCGTGTTGTATATATGTGGGTGGGTCTTGTGTGCATGTATATGGTCGTGTGTACATGTGTGTGTGTGTACAATATTCTCATCTTTCACTCATTCTCTAATACATACACAGTGTACGTAGACTAACAAGAAGAAATAAACACCAACATTTTCGCTATTTGCTTGAGGGTAACGTGTGTGTGTGTGTGTGTGTGTGTGTGTGTGTGTGTGTGTGTGTGTGTGTGTGTGTGTGTGTGTGTGTGTGTGTGTGTGTGTGTAGTGTTTTGGTCCTGCCTCACACACAGACTGTTGTCCAATCCACCATCATGCACCTCCAGCCACACACACACACACACACACACACACACACACACACACACACACACACGGTCTCTAAGTAACGTCAAATGAAAAAATAAAAAAATAAAAATAATATACGGATTCTCAGAAATGCTTGCAAGTTGTTTTCACTCTTTCTTGGGACGTGAGAACATATCTGAACTCGGTTTCTCATGGTTCTCGGAGGTTCTCAAGGGGTTTCTCATGGGTTCGTCGGGGATATTATGGGTTCTCTGGGGTTCACATAGGTTTTCTGGGGTTCATATGGGTTTTCGTGGGGTTCATGTGGGTTCTCGAGGGTTCATATGGGTTTTCTGGGGTCCTTCAGGGGTTCTCAAGGATTCACATAGGTTCTCAAGGGTTCTTAGTGGGTTCTCAGGGGGGTTCCGATAATTCGTCTGGTTTTTTTTTATATACTAGGATGCATCTCACTAGCTATCTGATACTACTAGGATGCACCTCACTACCTAACTGATACTACTAGGATGCATCTCACTAGCTAACAGATATCTCCGTAGAAAATTACTATCCTAAATCACATCAAAAGTGCATTAAAACTAACGTAAATAATTGTATTCTATTATCCCAAACAAGAGATAAAATTTAACACATACAAACATTGAGAATTTGGACACAGAATCAAACACAAAAACACAATAATTTTTCTTTTATCAAGTACACCAAAAGACCCATGACGCATATTTTGCTTTTTTGTTTTTGTTTTTCTGTGTTTTTCTGTGTTTTTCTGTGTTTTTGTGTTTGTGGGTTTTTTTTTGTCTTCTTGAGTCCGCTGTCTAGACACGCTTCAAACATCTTTGCGTTCAGTGGTTTTTTTTTCCCCTCGTGACACACCCAGACACGACTGATAGCCTCTCGGTATATTGTCTACATTAGTTTGTTTTGTCATGTTCCTAGAAGAGTATAAAATCGCCTTAAGATTAACTCCCCTTAATTTTAGCGGTTAATCTTAAAATAAAATAAACTGGAGATTAATCTTCACTTGATCCGGTTAATATTTTCTCTTTAAGCATGGAAAAACTCTATATACTTTTAAAGGAACCAAAGTTTATGGAACAGCTTAATATTTTCAGCTTTTGAATCAGTATCAACATCAAGATCTATGAACCACCATCAAGTGATAGATTATTGCTTTATGTAGACACCTCATGTAGGAAAGTCATCCCCGTGTACAATATATAACAGTCGTATCTACAGATTCTGGTCTACAGGCACGATATTTACCTATAAACACAACCACATCAACAACAAATATAACAACAACATCAACAACAACATCAACAACAACATCAACAACATCAACAACAAAATCAATAACAACAACAACATCTACAACAAAGACATGAAACTATCAATAGTTTTAGATCATCAAAATAATCATAAACCACCTAAGCAAACACACTACTACGAGATAATCTAAGGCATTCTCACATCACCAGATATTTTACGAATGTCAGTGGATCCTGGGCCCCAAGTGATGACATCAATCCACTCACTCCCTGGAAATGACCTTAGCTGTTGGGGCCTCGAGGCTTAACCTAAGTACACACCTCCCAACTCATCTCACTAACATAGAATTGAACATGAGAAAAATATTGTATCACGAAGTCTTCTTTTTCCTTTCCTTTTTGTGGTGTGTGTGTGTGTGTGTGTGTGTGTGTGTGTGTGTGTGTGTGTGTGTGTGTGTGTGTGTGTGTGTGTGTGTGTGTGTGTGTGTGTGTGTGTGTGTGTGTTTTCTCTGGTACTCTGGGGGCAAGGTAGGGTAGAGGCCCTTGTGGGTGGTGGTGAGGCCGTTGTGGGTGGTGGCCAAGGAGGAGAGGCCAGTGTGGGTGGTGGTCAGGGTGAGGTGAGAGGTAAATGAGGGAGAAGAGGTCAGGGTGAGGGAGGAGAGGCCAGGGTGAGGGAGGAGAGGCCAGTGTGGGTGGTGGTCAGGGTGAGGTGAGAGGTAAATGAGGGAGAAGAGGTCAGGGTGAGGGAGGAGAGGCCAGGGTGAGGGAGGAGAGGCCAGTGTGGGTGGTAGTCAAGGTGAGGGAGGAGAGGCCAGTGTGGGTGGTGGCCAGGATGAGGGAGAGATGGCCCTGTGCAGCTGTCCATCACCTCACCTATAACTTTGCAAAGCTTCCACTCGCAGCTTAAGACAATCAGCTGTTCATCACATAAGTTTCAACATTTTATGGCCAATTAACAGCTCCCACAGCTGTCACAAACGTCCCCTGGCAATTTCATCACTTCCTCGCGGCCACAGCTGTCTGGATGTCCTTCTGAAGACAGTTACATTACGTGGATCACCTGAAGATGAACCACCCAAACGCTAACATAACCTAACCTAACCTACCTCCCTTGTGTTTGTAAAGTGCTTCTACAGATCCTGATAAAACAAAGAAATAGGGAATCATCTTACTCCTTGTTCAGCCTTGCCTGGAGAATTTACCTAAACAAATTCTCTTAACTCAGAAATTCTTCCTTCTCGCGTTTACAGATTAAATTATAGTTATTTTTTCAGGTTGAGTCGTTAATTATTATCATTTATTAAGGAAAAATTTTAAAGTATCGGTGGCTGTGTAGGTCCCTATAAATAGTTACAATGGTAATTTTCATCTAGTGAAAGAATTACGATTTCTCGGTCTCTCATAAAACGATATGCATTGTGTATGTGCCTTTATATCCTTGTTGCTGGGCCCTCACACACACACGCCAGCCTCCTAGTATTACCCTCCAGCCTGTTACTTTAAAACTAAATAAGAAAACTAAATATATGTATGTGGGTGTGGGGCCCGGCATCCACCTCCCTCCCTCCCTCCCACTGTCACACCCTCGGCAGTCAACTGAACCCTTGTGATTGAGAAACATTGAAATAATTTTTCTAAGTTATAATAATCGTTAACGAGTATTTTTAATGAAACGGAGACACTCTTATTAAGAAATGATAAGACAGAATCCAAGTCATTTGTAGTGTGCATTATGTAGGAGTAACATAGACTAAAAAAAAAAAAATCTGACGTGATCAAGAATAACAATCATCTGAAAGCTTGTGATGGAAAAATTTTAACATCAGATACAACTTAAGATTTTTCATTCCCACGTTTAGCTTGAAATAAAGTTAAAGTATAAGAAAAATCCCAGTTTACAACATTGGTTTTATAGACCTGGTCCCTCAGTATATAAAATATTAAGAACTTTCTCCTGACTCCAAATGAATATCATACATTAAAATTCCTATAAAAAGTTTCTTCATAATTATGTGAATAATTTCTATAATGATTTAGGTTTGAGAAAGATACATAACAAAATATTTATCCGTCATCTGTCTCTCCCACGTTGGGTTTGTTATGGTGCCGGGGCCCCGTCCTTCCAGTTGTAGAAAATAGGTAAAATAAACTGTTTATCACCAAGATATATCAAATATTACCTTAATTCTCACTATTTAGTTATAATATCTTTATAATGACACATCTTTCAATCCACAGTGAGATGGGATATAGGATTATTAGAGAGATTCCCAACAGACGTGGAAGGTTTGGTCATATTAAACCAAATAACTTAACCATCTTTACCTTGTGTCTTAAAAGATTTATAATGAAACTAATAAACTACAAAGTTAACTGTGAAAATTAGGACTTACTTGGGTGTGGTTATTGATATTAAAAACCTTAAATGACTGTCTCTTATTTGGGGTTTTAAATTACATGTAAATATTAATATCTTGCTTTTAAAAATGTCTTCTTTACTTTGGGGTTTTAAATATATGTAAATATTATTATCTTGTATTTAAACATGTCGGCTGTGTCTTATTTGGGGGTTTTAATGTATATAAATATTATTCTCTTGCCTTTTAAATATGTTACTGGGTATAATATAAAGTATAATTTAGTATAGGTATTAAAAACTGAGTCCTTGCTTCACATATGGATGAATTATTTTATTTTAGAAAGTAATTAAGGAATTTCTCCATGTAGAGTGTATATTGTATATGGGGAGCCACTAATTACCCAAAAGGGGTCTGACTAATTACCCAAAAGTACCCAAAAGTATAGCAAATAAGGGTAAAATCTTAACTAATATCTGTTATACATACACAAAACATGTTTAATAATATTTTTAGTGTAATTTTGTAAAAATAATTTGTAACGTGAAATAATAAACAGCGAAAAACTTTCAGTATTGGCGAACGCTAAATACCAAAGAGTTCGTGAACAAGGGAGATAACTCAGATCCATCGTGATGCACTTCGCTAACCTAACCTAACCTAACCTAACCTAATCTAACCTAACCTAACCTAACCTAACCTAATCTAACCTAACCTAACCTAAGGAAAAGTAAATCCTACGGCTATGTTACATACCCCAAAGTAACAGAAACATCGGTAATTATATCTCCATTTTGGATAGGTGACTCTTTGGAATTTAACGTTTTTCGCTGTTTATTATTTCATTATTTTGACTACATTTCAATGAAAACATTATTAATCAGGATTTATTGATGTAAAACAGATATTCGTTAAGATTTTACCCTGATTTAATATACTTTTGGGTACATTTGGGTAATTCGTTGTACCGCTGTATATGTGAATGGAAGAGAAAAATATATGTCCATTGTATTTTACATTCATTATAAGTCTTTTAAATCATTATTAAAAACATATACTGTACTTTTACACTTCAGTGGACGTTATATGACAGTAATTCATGACATATTTGTATTTTAAATGCTGACATTGTTTGATTTTATTAGGAATTTATCACATGTACAATAAAATGCAGTATGGGTATGAACGATAGTTACAAATACGGAGTGTTTACCGGTCGTATATATTGTTAGTGAACTCCGAGGATAACACAATAATCGGAAGTCTTTATTTCTCCTAGGGTACGGTATTACTCCATCTACGGATATTGGATTTGTAAGAATGGAATGTGGGGTCATAGTTCCAAGTAAATAGATAAAATAAAAAATAATATGAAGCTAATAATCTTCCCTGTGTTAGGGTACATAGGTATTTTATAATCTTTTTCTTCCGATTGAAATTTATGCGGCAAGACCTTTCGTACATTTATCATTCTTAGCTAATAGTGTGAGTGATGCCATTACATAACACAATGTCATGTAAAATATAAAGGTACATTATATATACATGATTTAACAGTGATAAAATAGTTGCAAAGAGACTAAAATGACAAAAAATATACGAAGAATTAATTTAACTGGTAATAGTCTACGAGAGAGGTCTGGGGCACTCGGATACAAATATATTAAGCAAAATTTACTTCTTATATGAAGGATAATCCAAATCAGGCGGAGGAATTACTCTTTTCTTAGTTTTTCCGTAAATTAAGATGCCACCTGACATCACCGTCTTTGCAACTGTTTACGTGAGCGGGAACTGTTCACAGAAATTCAAGTCTCTATTTTGCACTCACTAAGAAACCGGAACTTTAGGAAATGTTTGTATGGGTGATGATAAATGAATTTTTATGTTAAGGATGTCCCCCAAAAGGATAAAAATTTGCAGTTTTATAAATATTAATTTGGCAATGCATGCAAAAGCTTCCCAGCATCGTTTCCATACACACAAACACTCCCAGAAAATGTTATGTTATATTTTTTACCTGAAATAATATGAATGTACGTATCCTAGGATCAAAGAATATTATTTTAAGTTCGGTTTGATCTGGTAATTTGATGTGGTAAGGTCTCCGGGAAGTGTTCCGTCACTTAGCAGTCAGTTGGTCACTGGGAAGCATTTGTCAACAGTTGAAGTGCAGATATGTCACCATTACATTTTTCATTAGGTAGCTGGTTAATATAGACCAATGTCCTAGACTATTGCAGGTACCATGTTCATATAAAAATTATTATACCTGTATTTAAATTTAAGAAAACTTTCATAGCTAAATTGTGTAATTTATTATGATTTTTCAATCGATTTTTTCCTCGCGATTTTACTATATCTTTGGGAACAATCATCACCTGTCACCAAATACCTGAGGTCCACCTGCTTTGTACAGTACTCATGTGAAGCAGAGGCTATGACAGTATCAGTTTTAATGAACCTTAAACTCTCAATTCTTTCACTTCCACCCCTGAACCTAATTTGTCATTCTCTTTCTTATTTACCCCATATATTGTTCTCAAGTGTATCAGTTCTTTTCCATCTAATTTTTTTTTCTTATAGTGCATAGATTCCTTGCTTCACTCCCATGTATTCTTGTGCGTCTTTTGTGTAAGAAGTAATTTAATGTAAAGATCCTCGTAAATTTATGTAAATAAAGTTTGTTTCTGATGTTAAATAATACAAGAGTATTTAAAGTACAGTAGTTAATGGTCGGGATCAGATATATTGTAATAAGTGTTTTAATTTGTTTTGTATTTTGTTTGAATTCCCTCTTGTATAGTACAGAACTGTATTTTCATGATGTTTCTTTTGAATTTTACCCATACAATACCTGGTATATTTTCAGACATGCTTTATTTGATTTATATTTCAATAGTTTTATATATTGTACAAGTGGACATTAGTATGTTTAGTTCCATAATGCTCCGTTTTTCACAAAGATGGTTGCAGTCAGAGATTGGTCTGTAGGACACATCATTTTTTCTTTGTTCTTATAAGATGTGGTTTTTAGATAACAATAATGTATTATCATCATCATATTACCTGTGATAAGGATGTTTCCAAAATATTATCAGTTATAGAATTGAATAATTTTGAAATGTGTATATACAGTATACTGTATTAGAATACCGGTATATTTTCCATTACGGGAAATCAATATTGATTGTTGCGCTTCCTTACAGTACTGGAAATGCCTCCCAAAAAGGTTGCTGCTCCTGAACCCAGGCCTCTGATTGGTCGAGTGGGGACTAATTTGAAGGTCGGCATTGTGGGTCTTCCAAATGTTGGCAAGTCGACCTTCTTCAATGTCTTGACCAAGTCATCGGCACATGCTGAGAACTTCCCCTTCTGTACCATTGATCCAAATGAAAATAAGTATCCAATACACTTTTTAGCTTACCTAACCTCACCTGCAAAAAGTACAAGGAGTTTCTATGGATCAGATTTAGTATATAGTATTGTAGGTGTCACTGTTTTGAATGTGCGGAAAATGGCCGTAAAATGTCAATGGTGACGATGATGACGAGATGGATTTTTTTCTTTAAATTTGTGGTGTAATAACAAGCTCTGTCAGTATTTACAGTGAATTGTGTACAGGATACAAAAAAGACTATACTGTACATGGTAAAAACAGCCAGTTTTTGTATGTTCAATTGTATAAAATTACTTCTGTCCATCCATCCATCTGTCTGTCTGTCTAGATCTTAAATAACATTCAGTACTGTATTTATATATCTAGTGGTTGTTACTTGTTACTGAAGACAACAAAAATATCTTTACACAGTATTGTTCATTTTAACATGCATATAAGTGATGGATAAAGATAAACAATAATAGTTTGTCCACTGCTTCATACAACACATCATTAGCATTGTATACAAGAAAATTACTTGAATGAGACAATTGACTCGCCTCACTACAACTTACCATAATACAGCAACATATGTATCAGCGGTTTGTCTTAAAAATACACCTGTACGATATATTATAATTATGATTGGATATGGGAAATGAAGCTTGGTTGTGCATGAGGTAGCAGTTTGTTAGTAAAGTACAATTATGACTGTACATTAAGATTAAAAATGATAGATAATTTACTTGTACCATAAATGTATTCATGATTTGTTAATGACTTAAACATGCATATTTTTTTTATTCATTTCAGTATCGACCATACAAAATAACCATCTCTTGAATAACATGACTATAGATCTTTTACTTACTTTAGATACTGATGCATTAATTTAAAGACATTTTATAAATCTGTTTTTGTGTGTGTGTCTGGGGGTGCTTTGTGTGTGTGTGTGTATATGTGCACGGGGGGATTATAAGATAACCCAAATAGACAAGTAACATAAAGGTGTAGTTTATCATTGTTCACATACAAAAGACCATCCTCCCTAATTAAGTTTAAGTAGGCCTCTTCCTGGCCCTCTGTGCGACTCCGACCAGTCTTACCTTAACCTGTAATCACCACGACAGTAGGCTGCAATTTGATGGCTGTGTATGTGTGATTTTAGTGTAAGCCAGACCCTATTATAAAGTCATCACACTCAGGCTTGTCAAGGTATAAAGGTAGTTTTGTGGTATCTACGGTTAGTTTGGTTGAGGTAGTGTCAGTGTCCACATGTGTGTCTGTAGAAGTGTGTGTGTGGGGGTGTTCAGAGAAGATATTTGTATTGCTATAAAGGTGCCACATTCCTTTTGCTTGGCTTGACTTTAAATCATTCCTCAGACTGACTCATAAGGTGATGTGTATTATGATATGGAGGTCTCAGCTATAGTGTTTGAAACTACTGTACATGTAAAGGGAAGGGAAATATTTAAGGTTTGATTTTAGCTTTTCGTCATTGTTGAGTATTTTAAGTAACGTGATATTTGTATTGGCTGCTGTATTTAAAAGCAAACTAGGATGATACTTATGAATGTTTATATATTTTATGAAACATTAATTAGTATCCCATAAAACCTTTGATGACCAGAACAGATACTAAAATGAATAGAGTTGAGCGAGGGAAATATTTAGGGAGGAAAATTTTTTGAATATATAAACGGTAACCCAATATTTATGTAGTTTGTATATTAACCATTGTGTCGTATAGTGAGATGTGGTACTGTACGAGGCATTTAATCAAACCATTGACCAACCATTTTCCTGCACGTAGGGTTCCCGTGCCGGATGCAAGATTTGACTATTTGTGCGACTTCCACAAACCTGTCAGGTAAGGAAGTCCCTGATTTTTTTCCTTGTTTGGGGAATCACATGAAGATTAGCCATCCCCCCCCCCCAGCTTATTTCACCTGATAATTAACCACCCTATTACTACTTGGGGGGAGGGGGGGGTTAGCTCAGATTAATGCTAGGATGGTTAATCTCAAGGTGAATTAAACGGGGATAATCTTCAGATGAACTTTTTTTTATCCACATCTATTTGTTTATTATTGTTGTTGTAATTCATTCATGAGTGTTGGAAAGCATTTTAATGATTGTGAAGGTGATTAGTAGATTGGATGGCTGTCGCTATGTTTTGAAACTTTGGCGAGATGCTGTGTTGGATTGTTACTTCTGATAATATTCTCCCCTTGGGGATTTCTCCTTCACTGGTCACACTGATAAGCTGTTCTGTTAAGTAGCCACATTTTTTTTTACCTTCTTGTTTTTCTCCTCCTTGTTTTTCTCCTCCACCTCTTCCTTCTTCTCCTTCTCCTCCTCTTCTCCTTCTTCTTGAGACCAGTAAATATATTCTTTTTATGGTTTCAGTTTACTTGTATCATTTTTTTCATTCTCATTTTTCTTAACAGTAATCCATCTATTCTTGAGAGCTGTGAGATTTTGTTCATCAGAGTAACAACAACATGGATAGGATGTACTTATGGGTCTGTCATGCTAAACTAGAGAGAAAAGCGAGGAAAAGAGAATGAATTAGAGAGATAAAGAGTGAATGAGAAAGAGAGAACAACAGAAAAAAGTGATAGGAATAAAAGAAAGAGGGGTGGAAGACAGAGAAATAGAGGAACCAGAAAATAAGAAAGAGAGAGGGAAAGGAAAATGTAAATAGACACAAAATGAGAAAATTACCCAAGAAAGAGAACTTGAGAATGAAAGACAATAAAAAAAAGAGTGGAAAGGGGAAAGAAAAAATGAGAGAGAGGGGGAGAAAAAGAAAGGGAAAAGAGAAGATGTGACCTTTAAATAAATTGCAATAACCTGAGCATAGCGTATAATAATTATCAGGTATTGCCACCCAAAAAAAATATAGTGTTGGCATCTGTATTTGCTCTCACAGAAACATGACATCAGTGTATAGTCTATCAACATGACCAAAACATTAGTAAATTACATTAAACACATAAAACTTATCTTATTTTGTTTATTTTGATGTGAGGGTGACAAGAATTTCATCACAGCACATGAGATTGAAACAGATGATAGAAAACCAAGTGTCGTTGATCCACTTTTAATGATGCCTGAATATTTATACACGAATTCGCTGAGGATTATAGATGGTTATATGATGGGCATAGTCATTAAAATCTCTCTACTTCCTTCTTATATGTGTTTGTAAATGATTATAGCCTCATACAAAGACAAATACACATACAATACAGATTTGCCAACCATACGTTTATGGTGAGAATGAAAAGAAATATATTATGTGTTTAGTGCAAGTTCATCAGCCTCACATTAATTGACAGGTAGGTTAAGTATGATGATTGTTGAAGGTAATTGTGTATTTAACTTTATACTTTTCCTTTTTATGCTTATGAATATCATCACACTCGTCTAATTAATGTTTTATTTTTCCATTCGTTCACATTTTGTAGCAAAGTGCCAGCATTTCTGAATGTGACTGACATTGCTGGTCTGGTGAAGGGTGCAGCTGAGGGACAAGGCCTGGGAAATGCCTTCCTCTCACACATCAAGGCCTGTGACGCTCTCTTCCATCTCACCCGTAAGTTACCCAAGCCCATAACTTCACGTAACCTCTTGGTCTGTAGTGTTGTCGCTTAATCTAACCCGTATGACACTCGTGTTTTATTACTCGCTTTCTTTATATATGTAAGGGATTTTTATTAATATTTTTCCAACAGATTTTTGTCTTTACATTGTAGCTACAGTATGTTGTTGTCCTTGTACAGTATTCCTTTCCTGGCTTGATAATACTTTTAGGTTAATACTCTAGTTCTTCCATTTATTGTGCTTCTTTGTGTTTGCATGGAAGTATATTGATTTTCATTTGTCTGTTTGTCTGTGCTTCTGTCCCACCCGAGATTAGGAGTTGGACTAGATTCCAAAAGAGCTCTTGCCTTAGGTGTGACTATCTTGATTTTTGTTCTCTGCAAGGAGTTTTTTTTAAAGTGCAGTTCTCTGACACATCCTTGTTTAACTAATATCGTGCCGTGTGCTAAGCTTGTGACACATTTTCAGTGAACATCTATAGCCATTGTAAAAGTGGCTTGTAGGATATAGATAAATATTTGTAATGTTAATCCATTAATTGTAAGTGCCCAGCCACCAAAAATGACTCGCTTTGTGATTGAATTCACCATGTGGTAGTGACCTCTTTAATGTAAAGTAAACTATGTTGTAGCATAAAACACAAATTTTGATGAAGTTAGAATGGTAAGTCATATGGCTTCAGGTCTATGTTCTGGCTCAGTGAAGAAATAGAAGAGGAAGCATAATAATAATAATAATAATAATAATAATAATAATAATAATAATAATAATAACTGAGAGTTCCCATAGGGAATGTGTGAGCTTGAGTGTGTTTGTCCCATTTGTCAGTCATGCTAGCCTTTGTACTCCCAACTTCAGAGTTCATTAGTAATATTCCCGGGATATACCCACAATTTGGGAATTGCCAATCTCAGGTGCTTCCACTACATCACCAGGTGTTACACACACACACTCACACATACATGCGTGGTTTTGAGCTTATCATTATATTACATTTTTCCTTTAAATTTATTAAGATCTAAGTGTTTGATAAATACTATAGCTGAAGTCTGCTTGGTGAAGTACTATAATTGTTTTATAATTTTGCTTCAGGGGCGTTTGACGACGATGATGTCACCCACGTAGAAGGGGATGTCAACCCCGTCCGAGATCTAGAAATTATCCTCGATGAACTACGATTAAAGGTTTGTCTTACTGTTAGGTTCAATTTATATGAAGCCACAGTAATTTATATATGGGAATACTGTATACTGTACCCTATATATACTGTATACCTTATCTCTACAGTCAAAAAATTCTCTTTACAGGACATCGAGTATATTGAGACAGTGTATGATAAGCTGTTTAAGCTGGCAGAGCGAGGTGGAGACAAGAAACTGAAGCCTGAGTATGACTGTGTGTGTAAGGTCAGAAATCTCTTGAAAGACGAGAAGAAGCACGTGCGGTTTGCCGAATGGGATACCAGAGAGGTGAGTGAGTCCTTATGTCGTCTTATTGTCATGTTGTGGAGTTGTAGAGCAGTAACAGGGATGTAAGCAGCATTAGTTAAGCTAGTCATTTAAACTAGTGATATAAACATTGTATATCTTGGCTTGATTGTAGTCTTGCTTCGTATCCATCCTGAGTAATCCCAGTCTTCAGTTGGTATTAATTGTATTCGCATAACACATATTGGTATTTTTTTTATCGTAACTAATTCTGTCATACACATTCCCTGCCTCAAGATGAGTGTGAAAGAGGTTGTTATCATGGTATTTCATTCTAAGAACCATTTAATGAGTGACTTCAGAATAGTGACGGTCCCTGAAATTTGTCCAAGTAAAATAGATGCTGTTCTCTTTCCTGTACATAGAACAGTTAAAATTATAAAAGGGGTGTAAAATTTATATGATTTAAAACAGAGGAAGAACTTCAAAATGATTCAGTTCAATGCATCTTTATCCTCAAATATTTCATCAGAATCTTAACGGGTAAATTTTTTTTATTTTTTTTATCTGATTACTGTTGATGATTCCTATTAGTACATTGATGGAAATAAAGATGAGGTTGGTAATCAATTGTGTGTATTTATTTCCAGATTGAGGTGTTGAATAAGCACCTTCTTATCACCAGTAAACCTATGATCTATCTGGTCAACTTGTCTGAGAAGGACTTTATTAGGAAGAAGAACAAGTGGTGAGTACTGTACCCAGATCACTCTACTGTATTACTGATTACAGATATTTTTCCTCACTATATCTTTAGGAAGCAAATGTAGTGGTGAAAAGATAACACTCCTGCTTTGTAATGATGACGGATTCACAATAATTTGACTTTTGCTTCAAGCTACGTGAGTCTTGAGTTGCAGGGTGTAATGTTGTACCTGATCTACACACACACAGAAGGTGGTGGTGATGGTGGTGCATGAATTATCTTCCTCATATATTTTAGTTCTTTAACCCTTTCTTGGTTTAAGGTATAGAGTGGGTGGGGTTGGCAGTTTGTACTGTACACAAGAATTTCAATGGGGAGAATTCACATAGGAGGCTTTTTTAATTAGATTTCCAACTGTTCCTAGAGATTTTCTTCTTTGATAGCTCCACTTTAGCTCAGGAGGATTTGGTTTCTTCCTTTACTTCTCTTTTGTTTAAATCCTTTTTTATTCCCGTTCCATCTTTAACTCGTGCAGAGGAAGGGAAACAGGTAATCACGGGTAACCCACACAGGCGTGGAAAATAGATGTAAAATGGTGACGATGATGATAATCCTTCGGAGGTTCTTGTAAAAGTTTCTTTTCATTGTTCCTTTAGTGAAAACTTCAGACTACTATGATGAGGGTGTTGAACTTCATGGGATTCAACTAGTTGGTTTATACAGTCTTTCAGCTATTTCACTTGATATATATGGTATTGGCTTAAAATTTTCTCAGGGACAGTTTCTCAATAATTTATATATGAGAGTGGTTTTATACCCATGCTACAAGGAGGACCTGAGTGTTGTCAGATATGGATATCCTCAATGTTTAATATAACACTGGAGACCTGTGGCACATGGGAGTTTGTAAAATCAGAATTATTTACATATGGACTTTCCCATCCCTTAGTAATATACTGTAGTTGGGTTAACTCCCTGATGTGGTGCTTGTCCCCTTAGTACTGTTCTGTATTCACAACACTTGTAGTCATCAAAGAGTTTCTGGGTTAAAAGTTCCCACATATGAGAACATCAATAACATGTCAATAATGTGGTCTTAGTGTGTTGTGTGTTAGTGGCATGCAAGGCTACTTCAGGGCCAACTACTGTAAGTGTTTATACTTTCTCTTCTTTATGTGATATGTCTTATTATTACTCAGTGGGAAATAGACTCAATATACACAGTGGGAGGAGAGAGGGTTTCTAAACTACCTAGTTCTGGCCTAGCATCATTCCTTCACTTTTAACCAGTCACCTCACTTGCAGATACCAACACTTTACTAACTTTCTGCCTTCATTAAAGTTCAAATAGACAAAAAGACTTAGGAAACAAATTGTACATAAGAATATTAGAGAGATGAATTTTCACTCACAAATACAGCTGTACCTGCAGATTCCTCCATACTTACATTGTATAAGGTAAACAAGGTGTGGAAAGTTCTGCCTGAAGCTGCTAACTCTAAAAACATTTGCCTATACACTGTTAGTTGTAGAAGCCACAAACATAGAGGACCAAAAAGAGTTCCCATGACATCCTTAGTCTATTTTGAAGAAGAAAAACTTTTACAGTACAGATCCAACGACTCAGGGAGCACCAGATGACCTGCTCCATCCCCTACACAACTCCCTCCCTGTCCTGGTTCTGGGCTTGACCGGTAACCCTCTCACTGGCTGATAATACAGGTTGTGTCATTAAGAGCTTGACAGTTCCCAGATCCCCTCCTGCTGGCTTGTATTGGGCACGGCCACAAACCCTCTTATTACGCACAACCAACAAAATCACAACATGAATTATAATTGACTGTCTTTTAATAACACGAAGGAGAATAAAGAATTGTAGAGGGGGTAAGGGTTGACATGAAGTTGGGGGAATATATGGAATTACAAAACAAATGAAACATTGGACCACCTCCTTTTGGCATATACAATACCTTCATCTTCCTTATTACTCAAACATTACCAAATATACATAACTTTTTTCTTTTCTTTTTTTTACCTCCACTAATAATTTTTTTATTTCATTTGCTAATATTTAGCTCAGGAATAGTGTCAACAGTACTCACACTAACCCTACCTCTATTTTTATGGTCACCTGAAACTTGACACAAATGTATTCGCTCAATTCTGGAGGGATTGATTTGAAACTTGCGAGACATTGCCACTACCATACACATCACACCTGTGTATTTGTGAGGTCGTAGTGTCTTGCTGGAAATCAAATCAGAGTAACTCATTTTTTATAGTTTTGGATTGATTGCATGAGACTGAAATATATCATCATTATAGTACCAGTCAGAGCACATGTGTGGTTTTTTTGAGTTACATATATAAAGGTCAAGGTCACTGCATCTAACAAACTAGTTGAAGCAATTTACTGGGCCTTGTTACAGCTACAGATTAGTAATATTATTTGAGTAATTTTATCATCCTTCATTTGTTTTCCTCCATTTCCATTTCTTTTCTTTTTTTTTCACAGTTTTTTATTACCAGTCACTTAGTCATTTGTATCCTACCTCATGTGAAATGTTTCTCAGGTTGAAAGTGTTGTGGGATGTGGTGTGTCTCTTCTTGTACTTCTTAGATGATAGAGAAAATTGTCTGGGAAGTTTAAGACAGAATTGGTCATTTTCTTTTTACATTTTCTTTAAAAATTTCTGGGGAGTTAATGATGTTTCTCTTATTATTATTATTATTATTATTCTTAAATAGTAAAGGAAATTATGTTCATTGTCTTCTTAAATGTGTGGAAGAAAATTAACCAAGGAAGACCGAGAGCAATACACCCAGTCTTGGCCTTGGGTACTGAAGGTGGTGTACGGGGGTCGTGGTAATGATATGCTATGCACTGATGATGATGACGGATCTCTATTTTTCTCGTGTTGTTTCTACAGAGTGTCTGGCCGCTCCATTTACATTATTCCACACGGTTTTTATTATTGCCTTCAGACTGTGTTACTGTTATTGTCTTGTTACTGTCTTGTTACTGTTACTGTCTTGTTACTGTCTTATTGCTCCTACTGTCTTGTTTCTTGTTACTACATATTCATAAGTAACATTGTGTCGCTCATTGTTACTCTGTTTTGTTACTTCATATTTATAACTGTGTTTCTGTTACTCTTCTTGTTACTACATATTCATAAGTAACAATGTGTTTCTGTTACTCTTTCTTGTTCTAGCAATTCGTAACACTGTATTGTTTTTGCTGTTCTTGTCACTACAGGTTCATAACACTTGTATTTGCCCATAGTGCATTTCATCATAACTACAGTATTTATTTACAAGTTTGAGTTGTTACTGCCAGTGTATATTGCAAAGGCCAGACACTTGTTTCATCCTTGCTTAACTCACATCACACAAGCCTCACCTTTCTGTCATACCCACCTCAGGTCCTGCCCACCACCCTGCCATACCCACCTCAGGTTCTGCCCACCACCCTGCCATACCCACCTCAGGTCCTGCCCACCACCCTGCCATACCCACCTCAGGTCCTGCCCACCATCCTGCCATACCCACCTCAGGTCCTGCCCACCACCCTGCCATACCCACCTCACCCACCTGCACACCCACCTCACACCCTGCCATACCCACCTCAGGTCCTGCCCACCACACCTCCTACCCACCTCAACCTCCCACCCACCTCACACCACTACCTCTCACCTCCTACTCTACCTACCATTCTTAACTACCCTGGTCTACCCATCCCCTGGTTACCATACTGACTTGTAAAAGAAACATCTCCCAAGTGAAAAATTTATCAAGATCACACTTAAAAATTTTTCTCTGACTCACCTGATTGCCATTGTTTAGAGGAATATTAATTAAGTCTGCCGGATTAAGGCATTGAATCCTCAACCAGAACCTTTATGATGAAATACTGGATCTGAATGAGGAGGTTCCAACACTACACAAAGTGGATTTGGAGAGCAAGGAAGGTTAGTCCAGTTTGATAAGTATTCTGGAAGTACAGGATATCCCTTCCTGATATGGTGGGTTTCAAAATACATAAAATGGAACTATAGTGAAATCTTGCTTGACTCCTTCTCTCCTCCTAAGCTTTTGAGATCAGTAGGATATCTAGGCCTGAATCTGTATTTGTCATGGTGAAAAGTTTTTATCACAACTTTACATTCAGCGGTGCATTGTGGTTTGTGGGAAGTGTCACATCTTCCAATGAGATTTAAGTGTCACATCCCTTTAGTGAGATTCAAGTGTCACATCCCTCCAGTGAGATTTAAGTGTCACATCCCTTTAGTGAGATTCAAGTGTCACATCCCTCCAGTGAGATTTAAGTGTCACATCCCTCCAGTGAGATTTAAGTGTCACATCCCTTTAGTGAGATTCAAGTGTCACATCCCTCCAGTGAGATTTAAGTGTCACTAAATAAAGAGGAAGGATATCTTATTTATTGTTAACATGGGTTGTGTCTTGGTGAACAGGGCAGGAGGTGGGTAGTGACGGGTGGGGGTGGTGGGCATGATAGGTGGTGGTGGTGGGCAGGATAAGGTGACAGTAAGACTGTGGTGGGTAGTGAGGGTGGTGGGCATGATAGGAAGTGGGCAGGATTGGAGGTGGGCAGATAGGAGGTGGGCAGTAAGAGGTGGTGGGCAGGATAGGTGATGGGCAGTAAGAGGGGTGGTGGGCATGATAGGTGGGGGGTGGTGGGCAGGATGGTGGTGGCAGTAGAGGGGTGGTGGGCATGATGGGAGTGGGGTAAGAGGGGTGGTGGGTAGGATGGGTGGTGGGCAGTAAGAGGGGTGGTGGGCATGGATGGGGTGGGCAGTAAGAGGGGTGGTGGGCAGTAAGAGGGTGTTTGGCATGTTAGGAGGTGGGGCAGTAAGAATTGGTGGGCATGATGGGAGGTGGGCAGTAAGAGTGGTGGGCATGATTGGGTGGAGGGGTGTTTGGCATGTGGGCAGTAGAGGGGTGGTGGGCATGATAGGAGGTGGGCAGTAAGAGGGGTGTTTGGCATGTTAGGAGGTGGGCAGTAAGAGGGGTGGTGGGCATGATAGGAGGTGGGCAGTGAGGGAAGGTGTAGAATTAGAAATGACTAAGACAGTAAACAGCTGTGGTGAAGGAAGACTTAATCTAACCTCACCTCACCTCACCTCACCTCACCTAACCTCACCTTGAAACAAATATATCTATAAATCTGATAGAGAATAGGTGGTGGCCGTTAGTGTCGCTTCCCTCAAGAATGGCGGCCTCTTGGATTAACGTGATATTTGAGTTAATATATAATGGATGTACCTGGGGTGTACTGTATGTGTTTTAAAAAGAATGATATAGTTTTTATTTGATTTTTGTTTTGACTCAGTATAATTTAATTGTAAGATGATGGCATGCATGTAAGAGAATAAATATTAAGTAAATATAGGAGTTTAATATGACGTGAAGAAGAAGGTATTATTTAGCTTTTAAAAATACTATAAATTTTCGTCGTGGAGTTAAAGACAAAAATAGGGAGTATTAAGTTAATTATTGTTAAGTGATATTCTGACTGGTTGGATCTGATTTTTATTTTTATTTTATTTTTTTACTTAATCTTTTTTTGACTGATGTAATTTTGATTGGTTAGTAAATAGTGTGGTCCAGGCAGTGTCCCCACACACACACACTTTGGAGGAGGACATGCAGGGATAAGTGGTTCATTTTTTCCAGTCGAGGGCAATTATTAAAGTGTAATTATCGTCGATGTGAAAGAACGTGATTGGTGGGTGGGAGCAGGGTGGGAGGGTGGTTGTTGATTAGCCGAGGGGCAGGGTGGGGAGGAGTCAACCACAATTCTGATTGGTCGGGAGGCGCGGCGACATTTTTCCCCCGAGCTCCCACGCAACCCTAGTCCCTTGCCACCCAGTCGTCTCAATACCACTCCTTTTTTTTTTACTTGTTTATGGGTCTCCTCGCCTTGTAGTTGTCACCTGAGTGATGGCGGCCGCGGGAGAAATACCCAGCGCTCCATAACCCAGTAATAAAAACTCCACCAGGGAAGTATATTGGGGCGTAAATTCCAGATAATGTTTTGCATTTAGAGGGTATTTGGCAACGGACGGAGCGACGGTCGCCTGGATAATTGGCTCGTGCAGTGTCGTCCCCCTTCCCCCTTCCTCCTTCCTCCCCCTCCTCCTCTAGCACGAACCCTCCCTCACTCATTCCGTTCTCCCCTCCCTCACGTGACCCCCCCCTCCCTCCACTATACGCCCTTTCTCAATATGTGCCTCAATTATTTTACAATTTTGCTGCTGATGGCACGTCATTAAGCATTTGCACACGATTTGCATATTTGAGGCATTTCGTGTGTGGCTTATCATTGTTATGTGACGTCAGGCCTCTATTATTCTTGCCCGAATTTCCTGTTCTCTGGGGTATAGCATGTGGCGTGGGCTCTTGTGTTATTGTGCCACGGATTTAACTGTCTGTTCCATCTCTTCCCCTTTCCTTCTGTCCTCATTTCCTTCCTCCCTTCCCTTCCGTCCCCATTTCTCCCCTCTCATTCTTCGTCTCTCCCTCATTATTCATCCCCATTCATCTTTATTATTATATTCCCCCTCATTTTCAGCATCTTTATATCCAGTACCTCTTCATCTTCACCCCCTCACCTTCGTCACTACTCATTATCTGTTACACCGAGTACCTCACCATCACTGTAGTGCTCTTAAACGTTTAATAATAACAATAATAATAACAGCAAAGAATATCGATTAATACTTACTGATGAAATTAACTTATTTACTCTACCATTGGATCTCAAGAGCATAGTAATAGTAGGTGTATAGAGCAAATAGAAACAGGATGACCAACGTGTAAAATCAGTTATCATTCGTCATCTATGATTTCCATATATATCATTACCTGTGCAGTGTACGGTAAATGCAGGTGTTGTCAATAGAGAGAGATTTTGATACACCTGTTGAAGCAAAGGTTAAAAAAAAAAAAACCTGTCCTGTTGGTTCAATCTCTCTTTAAGTATACGGGAGGCATTATATTGTGAGTCTGCCCAGTGTTTGTCCGGTCACCCATCAAGTTCTGGGATATTTCCGACTCTGCCCAGTGTATGTTAAGAGGAGGGGAGTGTATTATTACCCGGTGTTTACATTTGAACAGTGAACAAGAATACCATTATTGAACGTGTGTGCCCTCTCGTGTGGGTGTAAATAAAGAAGTGGTTTAGGAGGCTCTGGGTGTGTGTGGTTTAGTAGCCTCGTGTGTGTGTGTGTGTATAGAACATCTGGAGGTCTATTGATCACCCACACTCACCATGTTGAATAATTAAACCCATTGAAATATTTATAAACCTAGTTCCTCTCTCATAGACGGGTGACATAGCCATTAGATCTAACCTATCTGTCTGTCTGTCTGTCTGTGGAGGTGATGGTTTCTGAATGTTCTCTTTTATCCCACATGAAGATTAAGCACCCGAGGATATTTCACCTAATGATTACTGTATTTTTCCTTTGTTTTGGTCAGGTTGGTGAAGATCAAAGAGTGGATTGATACCAACGACCCAGGCGCCATCCTCATCCCCTTCTCCGGGGTGTTGGAGCTGAAGGTGGCCGAGATGGAACCCGAAGCTAAGGAACAGTACGCCAAGGACAACAAAGTCAGCAGGTATGTGTGTGTGTGTGTGTGTGTGTGTCAAATGTTCAGGGAATTTTGTCCACAACTGTATCGTGAAAAGCGCCTCCAGCATTGACCAATCACATAAGGCTGGCATCCCCCTCCTCCCCCTGCAATCACTCAACAATAACAGACTAATGGAAACTACTCCAGGTGTATGTGTTTAGCCACTGAGTCACCTGTGTGTTGAGAGACTCCGTTATTTATTGTGTGTTGGATGATGAGGATGATGATGACGATGATGATTGGCTGAAGGTCTGTTTGATGCTAGCTGTGAAGACTCGCTGTTTTAATTTCAGACACTGTGAGGTGTTCTCTTATGCCACGGGTGTTTGAACTTCCTCCTATTGGTTAATGTGTAGTGAACATTTTGAACATAATTAACACACACACACGCACACACACTCCTTTATGTCTTTCCAATTCTATCCTCCCCTCACACCCCACACCCTCCTTCCCCACTATACCTCCTTCCACACATCCCACACCCTCCACACACCTCAATACCCTCCCCCCACACCTTCCCACACACACACACCTTCACACACACACACACACACACCTTCACACTTCCACTTTACCCCCTCCCACACACCCCAACCCCTCCAACACACCCCCACACACCCCCCCCACCTCCCCCTACACCCTCCCCCACCCCCCCACACCCTCCCCACACCTCCCCCCACACACCCCTCCCCCACACCCCCCCACCCCTTCCCCCCCACACCCCTCCCCCACCCCTCCCCCACACCCCCCCCTCCCCCACACCTCCCCCACACCCTCCCCACCCTCCCCCCACATACCCTCCCCCACATACCCTCCCCTCCACCCCACACCCTCCCCACACCTCCCCCCCACACCTCCCCCCACACCCCCCCACCCTCCCCCACACACCCTCCCCCACACACCCCTCCCCACACCCTCCCCTCCACACACCCTCCTCCCTCCCACACCTCCCCTCCCACACCTCCCCCCTCCCACACACCTCCAACCCCTCCCACACACCTCCAACCCCTCCCACACACCTCCACACTCTCCCACACCTCCCTCAGCACACATAAACAGAGTGGTTAGCAGGTTAGCATGTCAATTCAGTATATCAGTGGATAGTTGAGCATTGTTTACACAGCTGTTGGTAATTGCAACGTGTAAAGTGTCCAGCGGTGGTTGGGTGGGGTGGGTGGGTGAAGATAATGGTGGCGACGAAGGCATGTTGTAGGTGGATTGGGTGGGTGATGGTGGTTGAACTAGACAGTGGATGGGGATAGTCATTGGTGAGTGGTGGTAGTGGATAGATGGACGGACGAGTGGGGGATGGGTGTAGGCAGTGGTGGGTGAGTATGGGTAATGGTGGGTGAATGATAGAAGCAGTGAGTGAGTGTGAGAGGCAGTAGGTGGATATAGGAGGCAGTGGGTGAGTATGGGAGGCAGTGGGTGAGTGTGGGTGGCAGCAGTGGGTGTGGGTGGCAGCAGTGGGTGTGGGATGGCAGCAGTGGGTGTGGGGGGGCAGGCCAGGTCTCTACTTCATGACTCGGGACACTAACAGCAGAAGGTACAGACCAGGAATGGACCATTAGCGTCATTATCGTGGCCATAACTCCTCTTCTTCCTCCTCGGCGGGATTGACTCGAGTCACTGCTGGCTATGCCCTCCACCCCTCCATTCCCTCCACCACCCCAATCCCCATTACATTTTTAGTCTCCAATCCAAACTTGTGTCCAATTTCCACGGTCTTGGGGTTTAACTTGGACTTACAACACTGGCATTGACTTCGGACTTTGGACTCGGGTACTGACATGGACTTGAGTATAATGGACTTAATGTCTTGATGCAGTTTCATGTAAAGTCTCTTCCCCGGCGACCACCTGGTGCTCACCGTAAATTGACATGGGGGTGAAACATGACACAGTGGTTGTAGTTACCTTGTTGGTGTTATTGGGGCGGGCAGGCGGGGCGGGGCGGGGCAGTGTTTATGTTGCGTCACTCTCTTGTTGGTTTAGTTAAAATCGACATTGTTGTTTTGATCTTTCGTCGCGTTTTTTATCCTAAGTTTTAATTCTTGTTCTATAACGTAATATAAACCTGGATTATACGTGGTTTAAAGACCTTAGTCGTTGAAGCTCAGTAATACATTAAAACGGCATTGTCAGCTTCCCGCCCTCCTTGAGACGGTCTTTTCGGATCACCTGAAGAAACTCCACCACAGCTTATATTTCACCCAAAGATTAGCCTAACCTAACCTAATGCTATTTGAGGGGATAAGTTTAGGTTAGGTTACCATTGTGGTGGTTAATCTTTAGGTAAAATAAGCTGGGGTGAAAATTCCTCAGGTGATGATGATGATGATAATAACAAGTAATAATAAAAATAATGCTAACAGTAGTGATAAGAATATTAAGTATATGAGAAATACTTCAACATACAGTACAGTATGTAATACAAATAGTGCCCACTCGTACGTAAACTTGGAACGAATAACGATAATAATTGTAAAGACGCAGACTTGTTATTTTCCAGGGGTCGACGGCATGATTACTGTGTACTCAAGCTGAGCCGTGTTACTTTGTTTACACCAGGACTATATAGTGAGGCTAAGAGGACCGTACTGTACTGGTGTTTATTATTGACAAGTACAGTAGAGGAATGCCTGTCACTGTCTCTCTTGATGCTACAGTCACCTTGGAGAGGTTTGGTGTCTTATCATGTTGAAGGAGGAACAACCCCCCCCCCCCCACATAGACACACATTACATTCTAATAGGTCTCCCACTAACTTTAAAAATTCATTAGTTTTAACTCGCTCAGCAAGTAACGTTTATGAGGCTATGATCTAAAACATATACATTAACATTGTTGCATGTATTTAAACACATATGTTTCTATTAAGGAAATTAGTTTATATATATATATTAATTATAATGAATTACTGACGTGGTCCAGATTGGCTTATTTATGTCATTATAACGAGAGAATGACTTAAGTTTATGAACGTGACCTGGACGTAAATTAGGGCTGAAATATTGGCTGGATAATAGAGTCGAGGTTAACACTAGATTATTATATACCAGGATTGAGATTAACAGCAGCTGTCAGTATATTAGTGGGGGAGGGGGCATTTTGAGTGTGTGTCTGTCTGTACTAGCTATCAACGGGGGGGGCAATGAGCATCAGTGTAGGGCATGAGGCTGGGCAGGACGGGACAGGATGGCGTTTAGGAGGTAGGTTATGGTAGGAGGACCAATGTGGTGATGAGGAGAGAGAGAGGCAGGCTAGGATAAGATGAGGCAGGCTAGGATAAGATGAGGCGGGCTAGGATAAGATGAGGCGGGCTAGGATAAGATGAGGCAGGCTAGGATAAGATGAGGCGGGCTAGGATAAGATGAGGCAGGCTAGGATAAGAGAGGCAGGCTAGGACAAGGTGAGGCAGGCTAGGACAAGAGATGCAGGCTAGGATAAGAGAGGCCGGCTAGGATAGGAGGGGCAGGCTAGGATAAGATGAGGCAGGCTAGGATAAGAGAGGCAGACTAGGACAAAAGATGCAGGGTAGGATAAGAGAGGCAGGCCATCATCACCAGTTGGTCGGGGTGAACATAAACCGTGGAGGGGGCGGGGTCCACCCTCTATAAATAAGCCGCCAACTTTATTTCTCCGACTGTCGCGCCCCCAGCCGAGGAGGACACAGGTAACCCGGGGGAGGTAAGGTCGACGGCGGGGTGGTGGAGACGCGGAGGTGACGACCCTAGAGACGCCAGGTGACTTAGCTCGTTGTGGACCCGGATGGAGGATGTACCCCCAGCCACTGTCACTGTTATTATCTTTGAGCGTGGGGGGGTAGTGAGGGGGAGGGGTGAGGGGGGTGGTAGGGGAAGGAGGGGGGAGGGGATCCAAATGATACGGCCTTTGTCAGGGAAATGATGAAGATTGGCGGCTCCTGCACGATAATTTGGGGCAGCTCGGGTCCTTGGGAGTCCCGGACAGGTAATTAAGTCAGGGAGAGGGGTGGAGAGGGATGGGAGTCTCTGGTTTGTATACTCATTACCAGCCGTGTTGGGTTTCCTGCCCCGGGGGTTCCACTGGGAGTGTCACTGGTGGAGAGGACGTGTCTGGTGGAACTGGAGGAACATGCCTTCTTTCCTTCCTTCCTTCCTTTTTTCCCCTTTTCTCTTCTTCTCTCCTTCCCTCCCCAATTCCCCTTTTCTCCCTCTCTCCTTCCCTTTTTCTCTTCCTCCCGTCTGCCTTCCCTCCCCCTCCCTTCCGACTTTCTTCCCCCTCCCTTCCTCTTTCTTTTTGTTCCTCCCTTCTACACACTCACTCACCTCCCCACTCAACCCCCCTCCACATACACACCTCACCCCCACACCTCATCTTTGCACAACTAGGTGACTAAAAGGGACAGAATTTACCACCTCTCCGACTGTGACCAACCACCTGACCTCATAATTATCCTCTGACATATATATTATTTTCGATAAGGTGTGAGTACAGGTTATCACGACTCAACTGTCACTCATCGTCACTTATACCACCTGCTGTCACTCATCGTCACTTATACCACCTGCTGTCACTAGTTGCTTGGAAACACTCGCTCTGTTGTGTTTACTATTTGTCTGTTTGTTGGTTTGCTAGTGTCCCCTCCCTCCCTCCGTCCGTCACACACACACACACACACACACACACACACACACACACATATATAAAAGCACTGAAATGTAAGGCGCTAAATTGCATCTTTTTGTACCTGTGGTCTTGAGATTACCTGTACTGGTATTATTTTCCACCTGCTTGACTGAATACCCTTAGCATTATTATTGTTATTATTATTATTATTATTATTATTATTATTATTATTATTATTATTATCTGGGTAAGAATATTGGGTAAATTAAACTTTGTATTCAGATAACCTCTAAATAGTTTGTGTTATACGCTTCTAAATCATGATTCTTTGTAATGTTATAGAATGCGATGTATTTATGTATGTATGTGTGTATG